TGAAAGGGTTCTGGCTGTCTGATGCATACTTTAAACCTCAGAGAGGTGTGATTTATGAAAGAGCATGTTTTCACCAGAAAATTCAAGAATGAGGGGAAAACGCTGAATGTTTTCTAAAAGCTCAGCGTACGTTAGTTGAAAACTGTGTTTTTGGAAATGCAAAACACAAAAATATTAGACACGCTCATTGTTGGGTTAACAGAGAAAAACCTTTCACAGCACCTGCAACTGAAGAGAGATTTATAGCCACAGCAGCAAAACAGCCTGAACTGGTGAAACAGCAAAACCAAGAGAAACCTGACAAACCTGAAACTAGCTTAGAAACTGTAAACAGACACTTTAATGTTAAAAGTCATTATCATAAAATCACTGAGGCAAGGAGAGAGAACTCCCAAGCTAAGAGGGACAAATTCCAGCCTATGTGCACAAAGTGTGGAAAAAGTCATAGCCCAAGAAATGATGCATGTCTGGCCAAAGGTGCACAGTATTATACATGCATGAAATATGGGCATTTTGCAGCTGTTTGCTGCACTAAAGCAGTCAGGGGTTGACTCATATTATAAGCAATCAAGATCCATTGTTTCTGGGATCTATTGCTTCTGATGACACAGAATCTGCCTAGAGAATAAAACTGAATATTCATGGAAAGACTATACACTTTAAAACAAATTCAGACACGGATATCACAGGCACCTCAGAAGGGACTTAAAATCACCTCCCAGAGGTGAAGTCACCTGACACCCCCAATTCCTCCCAGAGCTGAAGTCACCTGACACAGCTCTGACTATCCCTAGAGATATTCTGAACTGCATAGGCCAGTTCACCACAGAAATAACTTACAAAGACAAAAGATATGCATTCAGAGTGCATGTGATCAAAGATTCAAAGACCAACAAACTCCTCAGTCACAGTGTGGCAGCCATGACGGGCCTTAGTGAGAAAGGTGGAAGAACTCGATGGAGGAGTTGATGATAGTGAGCTTTTGAAAGGAGATCAAGTACAAATCAAGAGACAATGCTGAACCATACAGTGTTCAAACACTCCTACTAGAGAGACCTTGAAGAGATTAGCTGCAGATTTATGCAAATTCAGAGGACTTCATTACCCGGTCATCATGGACTATTTTCCAGGTAGAAGTAATGTACTTGAAAGACATAACATGTCACAGTGTTATCAAGAAACTTAAATGCACTTTTGCTCACTTCAGTATATCAGAACTTCTAGTGATGAACAACAGACCACAACTCACTGCAGCAGAATTTAAGTCATTCCAAATAAACTATATATGATTTTGTTCACATTATTAGCATCCCACATTACCCACAAGCAAAAGAAGAGACTGAGAGAGCTATACAGATGTCCAAGAAAATCCTACAACAAGACCCATTCCTTGATCTTCTGACTTACAAATCAACACCAGTAGCAACTACTGGATATAGTCCAGCACAGCTCCTGATGGGAAGACAACTCAGAACTATTGTTCGAACTTGGGAAAAGAATCTATCTCCAAAGTGGCCAGACACGAAGAGAGTAGCCAATCGGATAAAAGGGTTAAAAAAGCTTATGAACACTTTTACAAAAGATGTCACGCAGCTAGAGAACTGACAGGTCTGGAACCTGATGACTGTGTTCATGTCAAATTAGATGGAGAAAAAGGATGGACAATGGCAGCTGTTGTAAAGAAAAAGAATTCAGATCACCTGTGATAGAAACCAGCCGTGGACAGTTTCAACAGAAACTACAGTTTGTTCCTCAGAAAGAACAATCAACAGAGTAAATTCTAGAAATGGCAGATACAGAACAGTAAAAAGAAGAATCAAGGGTTCCAAACCAGCCACAGTCAGACGTAACAAATGAACAGACTGATGACCAAGTTGTTACAAGTTCGGGTAGAGTAATTAGAAAACCAGTATGATTCACAGACACTCAACAGAATGAGATATATTGAACTTCAAAGACAGCATGATAGTGTAAGTTTTGTAAATGGCAAGGATGTATAACTTACAGTGTGGTAGATAGAAAAGGAGTACTTGTGGCACCTTAGAGACTAACCAATTTATTTGAGCATGAGCTTTCGTGAGCTACAGCTCACTTCATTGGATGCATACCGTGTTTCCACGGTATGCATCCGATGAAGTGAGCTGTAGCTCACGAAAGCTCATGCTCAAATAAATTGGTTAGTCTCTAAGGTGCCACAAGTACTCCTTTTCTTTTTGCGAATACAGACTAACACGGCTGTTACTCTGAAAAGTGTGGTAGATGTAATGGAATGCTAAACTGTATTATATTATTCAGCCACTGGGTGGCACTGTATGCAAAATACAAGAGTTACAAACACGTCGGGAATGGAGGTTGTCCTAACTCTAAACAAAACGTTATGGTGGTTCTTGAAGTTTACAGCTGAACATTGATAATACAGTTTTGAAACTTTACTATGCAAAAGAAAAATGATGCTTTATTTTTTAGTAGTTTAAGTTTAACACAGTACTGTAGTGTATTTGCTTTTTTTCCCCCCACCCAGTCTCTGCTGCTGCCTGATTGTGTATTTCCGGTTCAAAATGCAGTGTGTGGTTGACTGGTCAGTTCATAGCTCTGATGTTTGTAACTCTGAGATTCTACTGTACCTTGTGTAAACTAACCTCAACTGTACCTGGTGTGTAAGAGCAAGCTCTGATATCTAGTACAGAAGTATGTGACAAAGGGGACTTGAAGCCGAAAGTAGCTTCCCCTGGTTCAGTTCTGAAACTGGCATGTCAGTCAGACCTCTGTGCCCTAAAAACAGCAGCTGGTGAGAAAGGAGCCCTTCAGGAGCCAGCCAATGGGAGAAGCACCCCTCCTGCAAAAACATACAACGTGTAGATTCTTCCAGAATTAGAAACTGTGAATTCTGCCTTCATGGCTAGTTTTCTTTAGGTACTTTCATTGTGTGGAGGCTACATTCTCATAGTGGACTGTATTTTTGTGCCATATCCTGATACATAGAGTGATATAAATCCTAAGGAAATATGTGCACATAGCACTTGGCATTGCCATAAACAAGACACCCTGCAGAACAACTACTTATCTCCATAAGCACAGTAAGTATGTAACTGCAGGCAATCTGGGAATGACCTGGAGATGTTCTTGTTATAACTGGTGAGCCATTTTCTAGTTGAAAATTAAAGTAGCAAATCTCTGGGAAAGATTTGGTTTTATTGCTTGTGAGGTGAAATCCTTATCTACAAATGTAATGAAAAGGCTCTTTAGAACAGATACTGTTTCATCAGTCACATCAGTATAAAGATGTGCTTAATAAATGCTTTTGCAATCTAGTTTAAGTGTAAAAACACAGAACATGTCTGATCTTGTTTTTAAACTCTCTAAGGAATGTATTAGACATAATCACAGAAATCATTGATAGAAAAGACTTATTAGGACTAGTCCAAGGGCAATACAGTTTTGATCTCTTTTACATGGCCCCAACCAAAAAGCTTCCACTATTTCCCCAAGATGAATACTCCACTATCTCAAAGGCAACAGGCAGATATATTTAACCATTCTCAAATCGCGGTTCACTGCCCCGATGTTGAAGCACGTTAGTCTTCAAGCAGTCATGCCTGTGAGCAGCTGTTACAGCCGGAGGAGCTAGTTGTTATCCAGGGCTCAGTTGTAATTTGCCACTTTTAGCCACTTTGTGCTGCAGCTTTATGTGATGTGTGTGAGGTTTCTTTGGTGCAAATTCATCTGTGATCAGAACTGCAGATGGCACCAAAACAGAAGGGATAGCAAACACAGAGGGACTGCATAGTGACCATGTGAGATTAGCCCATTAAAAGTTGCAAGCAATATGGGGAAATTTTATACTAAAAATTCACTACAACCAATAACGCCTTTGCCCTAGGAGAGGAAATAAACAGCACAGATACAAAATGGGGAGACCTAATGAAGCTGTTGTAAGTGCAAGTTTGAGAAGCATGTTTTCCTCAATTACTGAATCATGCTGACTAGTATTGTCTATGTTCTCTGTTTGTCATATCCACCTATTGCCTCTTGTCTTATACTTTGATTGTAAGGTCTTTGGGAAAGGAACTCTCTTTCTGATGTAATTTGTACAGTATCTAGTAAAGTGAACCATGATTAGGCCACCCAAGTGCAACCACTATACAAACCAATAGTAATAATAATAGTAGACGTTCTATACGACATAGGTTCCTATACTTCTCTCATCACTGTAGTCTCTGAGCACCTTCCAGTAGTGCATTAAATGGTGCAATAAAAATTGTCATATGTGGCTCATTCACTCATCCTCAGCGAGAGAACCATGTGTGCAGTGGAATATACTGTTAGTTTTTGTTGGTGGTGTGTGTTTTTTTAAATGTACACAGTGCTGCGTGGTTATGACCTTGCAGGCAAGGTCAAAGAAATGCACCTTGCACTTGGGACAGAAGGTGATGAGGTTTGTGATGCTCCTGATTTCCTGGGGAAATTCATTCCCCGGTCTCAGACAGCTCGCACCCCCCAGAAAGTTCTGTCTCTCTCACAGATGAGGGTTATCCTTATTGTTGCGAGTCCTATTGTGCCAGAGGAGCAGAATTGTCAATCGTGGTCTTCATCCCCGAGTTTTAGGCTCTTTTACATATCCTGGGCCCATGCCAAGGAGTGCCTGGAAAATAAGGACACAGCCCTTGAACGTGACTTAATACGCTATGGAAAGCCAGGTTTCATGTGCCCCAGTAGCCCATGTCACAATGAGACATGCTAAATGACTTCCCTTTGCCATATCCTTTCACCCCCTCCTCCCACCTTTCTCCTACTTGTCCCTGCTTCCCCTTCCAAACCTTCCAGATCCTCAGCCTCTTCCCCAGTACCAAGATCCTCTCTCCACCTCTTCTCCCACACCAGATCCTCCCAACCCTCCGCTTCCCAGAACCTCCCCCTACCCCACCATCCTTCCTTCCCCACCCCCTCCTCTTCTTGCTCGCTGCCCCGCCCCCCTCCCGAGCCCCGCCCATGGCCTGGCCGCCTGCCGCGCGCTCTCCCCTCCGTATCTGCCGGCGCAGCCGTTGGACTCTTCGAATGGAGCGCGCGGGCCCTGCGGCCGCCTCCGGGAACCGCCCCCTCGCGCGTGCAACATGGCGGCCCCCGGGCTCGCCCAGTGACAGGCGGAGGGAGCCCAAGCGGGCCGCTGCCCGGGGGCTCCGAGGTGCCCAGCGCCATGGAGGCCGCGGCCGCGGGGCCCAGCGCCCCCCGCGCTGAGGAGGGGGCTGGCCCAAGCCCCGCCTCCTGGATCCAGCGGCTCTGCAACGAGGTGCTCCGCTCCTCCCAGCTGAGCGTGTCCCTGGCCGAGGCCCCGCCGGTGGCCGTGGTGGCGGTGGAGCGCTACATGGCGGAGAGCCCGCCGCCGCCCAGCAGCAGCAGCAGCGGCGGCGCCCTGCCCAAGCCGCCCGCCCCGGCCTATTGCTACGACGTGACCCTGGCGGACGGCAGCCGGCGGGAGAAGTGCTACCTGGCGCCGCCGCTGAACGCCCTGGTGCAGAGGGGCGCGCTGCGCGCCGGCGGCCGGCTGCGCCTCACCCGCTGCTCCTACCTCTACGACGAGAAGAAGCTGAGCTCGGGCTTCCTGTGCCTCGAGCGGCTGGACGTGCTGCGGGACCCGCCGGACCTGCCCCCCGGGGGCCGCGAGCCCGACCAGCAGCGGCGCCCGCCGCTCAAGGGCGGGAGGAGCCATTACCTGCCGCTGTGGAACAACGAAGATCCCTACGGGGACATCTGGCTGGCGAGCCGGCCGCCGGAGCGCGTCGATATCGATGGTAAAACGGGGGGGTCGATGCAGGAAAACAAGGGGGGGGGCTTGTTGGCCGTTGTCAGGCCTGCGGGCGCCTGGAAACTGACCTGGCCCCTTGGCCCAAGCCCTGGTGTTGTGTTTACTTAGCGAGGGGATTGGGCGGTCTAAGCCAGGTCTATGCTACAGATTTTTGCTGGCTGTGTCCGCTCTGTGTAAAGAGACGTGATCACTGACCAAGGTAGCTGTACCACCAGAAGTCCTTAGTGTAGATGCAGCTCTACTGGCAAAGCTGTGCTTTTACCACTGTAGCTTGTTTTGCCTCTGGGCTGGTTACTATACTGGAATAAAATCCAGTTATGCCGGTAGAGGTGCATCCATAGTAGGAGTGCTCTGCCACAGTAGTCTACCAATATTCCTATAGCGGCAAAGCAAGCCTAGAGTAGACATTGGCTAATTCCCTCACAATTTAAACAACAAACATTAGTAAACATTAAACAAGTAGTAAACAGTAAACATTCTAAATATTGCAAAAACATGTTAAATTAAAAAACAGCTGTGATAGACGTATTTTCTCAAAATACAGGCCTTACGTAGGGGCCTAATTTCAGATTTGAAGTGAAATCTGAGCAGAAATGTAGTTCCATGTCCTGCACTAACAGACCCCCGCAAGCACACAAAAGCCCTTCAAAAGTGAACAATGCTCTGTTTAGGTGCAGGAGTGTGCCCATGCACAACTTGCTGCAAGATTGGGGGCCCGAGTTCACTGAAATCTGTATTTCATAAAAGTTTCCCACTGTTTGTTTGTTTTTTTTTTGTTTTGTTTTACTTGCATGATAAAAATGTAGTAGTCGTACTTTCAACATATATGCCACTACTGCTTTTGGAAGAAGAAAAAAAAGTTCAGTACTTTGTGCAGATGACTGAGAACTGAGATTGTTTATATAGCATTAGCAAACAGTTTTAATTTTTATGAGAAACATTATAAAATACATAGGAAATGCTCAAAAAGAAGAGGAGTCCTTGTGGCACCTTAGAGACTAACATTTATTTGAGCATAAGCTTTCGTGAGCTACAGCTCACTTCATCGGATGCAAGCTCATGAAAGCTTATGCTCAAATTTGTTAGTCTCTAAGGTACCACAAGGACTCCTCTTCTTTTTGCGGATACAGACTAACACGGCTGCTACTCTGAAACCTGTCATATGAAATCCTGTCTGCCTTAATGCATTTCTATAATCTGCTGATACAAATCATGCAGCGGCACATGTACCACCAAAGAGGTTTATTCAAATTCAAGCATGCGGACTGTTTTATCACTTGATTTTTTTTTCCTGCTTTCTGTTTTTTCACTAGTATCCAAATTAACTTCTCTTGGTCATCTGGAAATGAACTGGAGGAGCAGAATACACTTCAGTCCATTGCTTGTGAGAATCTTGCATAAGGCTAGACTAAGGTACTATGGGAAACCTGACAAAAAACTGGATATACCGTATCAGGTAGGGGGGAAAAATCCAACTTGTCTGAGTAGTTCTGAGGTGTGCAGATCTTATTTCCATACCGTAAGGGTACAGCCAAGGGTCCTATAGTCAGCAACAAATAAACCCTAAAATTGTTTCAATTGTAAAAGCTTAACCATTTAAAAGTATGAAAATGATAAATCCCATATGTGTATATGTATATGTGACTGATCCCAGTTACTATAGAGCTTCATGGTGTTAGAACAGTGTCAGTGTTGTTTTTTTAATTGTTTGTCTTAATCTCAAACTGAATTTTTCTTGGTAACTATATCATAAAGAGAAAAGGAGTATTAGTGGCACCTGAGACTAACCAATTTATTTGAGCATAAGCTTTCGTGAGCTACAGCTCAGAGTTAAGGTGGTTGTAGTTAGGGCTGTTGATTAATGGCAGTTAACTCACACGAGTAACTCAAATATTAATCACTATTTAAAAAATTAATCGCGAGTAATCGCACTTATAACCGTAGAGTAGCAATTGAAATTTATTAAATATTTTGGATGTTCTTCTACATTTTCAAATATATTGATTTCTTTTACAATACGGAATACAAAGTATATATTGCTTACTTTATATTATTTTTATTACAAATATTTGCACTGTAAAAATGAAAAATAGTATTTTTCAATTCACCTTATACAAGAACGATAGTGCAATCTCTTTATTGTGAAAAGTGTAACTTACAAATGTAGATTTTTTTTGTTTGTTTTTGAGTGCAGTTATGGACCAATGTAAAATTTTAGAGCCTACAAGTACACTCAGTCCTGCTTCTTGTTCAGCCAATCGCTAAGACAAACAAGTTTGTTTACATTTACGGGAGATACTGCTGCCTGCTTCTTATTTACAATGTCACCTGAAAGTGAGAACAGGCATTCGCATGGCAGTTCTGTAGCCGGCCTTGCAAGGTATTTACGTGCCAGATATGCTAAACATTCATATGCCCCTTCATGCTTCGGCCACCATTCCAGAGGACGTGCTTCCATGCTGCTGCTGATCGGATTTTAAAAAAAAAAAGTGTTAATTAAATTTGTGACTGAACTCATTGAGGGAGAATTGTATGTCTCCTGTTCTGTTTTACCCACAATCTACCATATATTTCATGTTATAGCAGTCTCGGATGATGACCCAGCACATGTTCGTTTTAAGAACACTTCAGCTGCAGATTTGACAAAACGCAAAGAAGGTACCTTTGTGAGATTTCTAAAAATAGCTACAGCACTCAACCCAAGGTTTAAGACTCTGAAGTACTGTCTAAAATTTGAGAGGGACGAGGGTGTGGCGCATGCTTTCAGAAGTATTAAAAGAGCAACACTCTGATGCGGAAACTACAGAACCCGAATCACCAAAAAAAGAAAATCAACCTTCTGCTGGTGGCATCTGACTCAGATGATGAAAATGAACATGCTTTGGTCCGCTCTGCTTTGGATTGTTATCGAGCAGAACCCATCATCAGCATGGACGCATGTCCCCTGGAATGGTGGTTGAAGCATGAAGGGACATACAAATCTTTAGCACACCTGGCACGTAAATATCTTGGTACGCCGGCTACAACAGTGCGTACGAACGCCTGTTCTCACTTTCAGGTGACATTGTAAACAAGAAGCGGGCAGCATTATTTCCTGCAAAATGGAAACAAACTTGTTTGTCTGAGTGATTGGCTGAAGTAGGACTGAGTGGACGTGTAGGCTCTAAAACTTTACATTGTTTTATTTTTGAATGCATTTATTTTTTTTGTACGTAATTCTACATTTGTAAGTTCAACTTTCATGGTAAAGAAATTGCACTACAGTATTTGTATTAGGTGAATTGAAAAATACAATTTCTTTTTTTACAGTACAAATATTTGTAATAAAAAAAGTCAGCACTGTCCACTTTGTATTCTGTGTTTGTAATTTAAATCAACATATTTGAAAATGTAGAAAAACATCTAAACTATTTAAATAAATGGTATTCTATTGTTAGTGCGATTAATCGCGATTAATTTTTTAATCTCTGGCCAGCCTTAGTTGTAATGTTTGGAAATTTTTACATGTGTACTTTTTTCTTAGAATGTACATGTATTTAAACATCATGTACATTACTTTATTTGGTTATTGCTTCCAAATGTTTAGGTGCTTTTATATTGTAATATTAGTTTTTCAAGTGTTTGTTTTTATCATAGAAATCTTGACTTTAAGTTTTAAGGGTTGTTTTTGCAGAGCATGAATTAGGCCTGCATGGATACTTTCAAATGAGCATCAGTACATAACATTTTGCCTGATGATGGGTCTCTACACTCCTATTGTTCTAAGCTGTTGTTCCCCCACCCAGATGCAAAATAAGTCTGGATCTCTTGTTGGTGCTGTATTTCAGCAGACCCAGTCCAGGTGGTGCTCTTAAACTGCTCAGGAACAAGGGTGGAACATCAGTCGCAGTCCTTGGTATGAACTATGGGATCAGTACCTAGAGTTGATTCAAGTGGAGGAGTCAGTGGCAGACGAGGAAGAGGAAAGATCCAGCACCACTTGCTCTTTACATCTTTTTTTAATTAATATTCTGCATTTAGGCCATAATGCACTGAAGTCCTCACATAGTGTAAAATGTTATGTGCCTAAAGCTACATGTATTGAATTATTTTTAACACACGCAGATGTGTGCATTATTCTGCATGTAACAAAAATATTCTGGCACATCATAACTTGCCCCAAAGAACTTGCAATCTGAGGACAGATGGACAAGTAATACAGAGGTCAGGGAAAGGGAACCAGAAAAGGAATATTCTGTGCTGATCAACACGATTTGCTATAGGCAGAATGGCAGAAATAGATTTTTAAGAGGGACTTAAAGGGAGAATGTAGGAGCCTTGCAGGTGAGTTCATGGGCAACCATGTGTAGGGGATTGTGTGGAAGAAAGCATAATGGTGATTTTTGGAGGCTAACAAATAAGTGGATACAGGTGGAAACATCAGTGGAAACGAGGTTTGTTCCACTGAGTTGCTGCATTCTGTAAGTATCCTGGAAGATCTGAGAGGCATTATGTGGATTGCGTCACCTGCGCAAACATGGTCCCTGGACAAGGTTTTATCTGAGTAGAGGAGTAGCAGTGGGGAATCATTCAGTGTATGGATTTTTTTGTATGTGTTGAAGTGCATTTGTAGACTTTGCATGCCAGCAGGTTAGAGCTGGAAAAACTTTTTAGGCAACGTTTTCCCAATTTGGCATATGAAGATTTCCCTGTGAAAAGGGTTCACATAAAGTTTTCTGTCAGAATATTTTGTTCACAAAATTTCCACATGAAGGGGGTTCTTACACAATTTTATATATTAGTTTTGATGACAGAATACCCCTCTGCTAGTAATATTTTTTTTTCTTGAAAACTAGCCCACACACAATATTATGACCCATGCTGTTTCCCAAATGATTCCTGAGTTATAACTTGACAGTTTTTAATAGAGGTTCTTTATACTGGCATTTTGAAGTGTTATCTTCTTTAAAAAAAACTTCTGGGTTTTTTTTCCCCCCCCTATTTGAAGGGTTACCTTAACATTGTGAGAAATGTGAACATTTTCACTATAGGAGGTAGGGGAGGAGAGTGGGAGAGGCTCAAAATTACCCTTCTAATAGAGCTCTGGAGGGAGAAGCACTCTGCTAATTATGATTTATTATTATGTATTTATTTGAAAAAACTGGTGAAGATCCCACATAAGTAGCAAACTGTGAGTTTGACCCTGCAAAGACTAAACATGCAAGTATCTTTAAGAATGTGAGTACTCCCACTGATGTCAATAGGGACTACTTGTGCATAAATCTTTGCAGGATTGAGATCAATAGAGAAGTGAGATTCCCTGGTGAGCTAGTAATACAATTCTAGCTTGGTTGCTTCATTTCTTTTCCTGTAGTCCTACAGCTCAGGCCCATAATATTTCCTCAAGGTTTATATTGTGAAACTGATTCATGGCATTTTCACGGCACTTAGAAATGCTGAACAGGAGCAGCTACATAATTGGGACTGTGATGCAGGAAAATATAGGATTCTTGCACTCCCATGTTTGAATTTAAGCTTGTGGAGCATACCATGGCTTCAAGTTTATAATGAGTATCAAAACTACTAGGGAAATTACTGTTAATTGGGCAGGCATTTTAATAGTTATCCAAAAAGAAGAACATTTGTTATCTATGTAGTTAAAGGTCAAACACATGTTTGGTTTTTCTTTTCTAGGCTTATTTTGAAGTTGCTGATAGTTCAGGCATGATGTCGATGGTTTTGTGGAATTCTTTATGTCCTGAGTGGTATAACAGTATGAAGATTGGTACAGTACTTCTGCTTGAACAGTATGGTATCAAAACCAGTTATCCATTTAAAACACAGCCAACACCAGGGGATTCGCAGATGAAGCGATTTACTACGATTGGTTAAGTATTCCAGAAATCTGATTTCAAGTATTGCTGTTAAAAAGTTAGAAAATACCATTTCAGCTGACCAGTTACAAGAGCTACAGTGAAATTACGTGGCCTTTCAATAGATTTACCTTCAGTTCCCATTTAAAGGCAGGTGAAATACACAGTCCATTTTTGGGATGATGTTAGTATGGTCAGCGAGAGCAGTGGGTCTTGGCACTTCACCCACTTGAAATGAATGAGGTAATGCATACCTCTCACAGCTGTTGTTTCAGGCTGTCTGCACACTGGGGTAGATATTCTTGCTTTAGTTACACTTGGGTCATGTTGACAAGCTTTTTTTCCCTCCACAACCATTAGATGAAAAACTATCATTTTTTTGTAAATGAAAGCTGAGTCTGATATGATCACATAATTCCAAGTGTTGGAGCCCTAGGTACAGGGCTCTAGTGCCTATGTCTTAATTTGGCCTTCCTTCCAAATTAGTGTCACAAACAAATATAATTAATGTACTATTTCCATCCTCATCCGGATCATTCAAGGTGGGATCTAAGAGTCACATCCTGTAACAATCCATACCGGTGCCCATGTGGCGCCCCACTGAAGTAAGAGTTTGGTGCTTTATGATCTCATTTTACATTAATGATTGCTACCAGGTGCACTAAACAATAGTATCATGGTCCTTGATGTACTGATTCCTCAACACAGAGGAAAGAGGCTTCCTTTCTGCTGTTGGAGGGTGTGACAGAGCCAAGGCAGCCCTAATACAGGAACGCTAATGCCTTATTGCAAGACAGTGGCCTCCCCATAACAGGCCTTGTCACCAACACTTCTTTCTCCCTGAATATGGACTCCCCTTCCTTACGTACTCATATTCTGAATTAAACAGCAATCAGAAAAGCCATTTCCTTGACACACACAAAAATACATATCTTTGGGTGTTGGTGTATACATCTCCTTTTCTTCTTAGTAATGACAGTTTTGCTAAAGTAGTCACTACAGTGCATGAAAATAGACAATGTGCTGCACTGCTCAAAGCCATGTGTTCTCTCTCATGCATTTTGCTTTAAACCCTGTACTTAGCATCTGAAGTGTTTATGATGAGTTGGCAGGAGAGAGAAATGTTTTGCCAGGCAGGGAGACTTGGGGGGAAGACAGAAATGAAAACTGTTAATGCTTACAAGCCAGCATAACAGTAATTATACTTGCCACAGACCTGCCTGCAGCAAAGAGGCGCTGTCAGATATGCTAGTCTGAGACTCCTTTTTGTGTAAACAAAAATCACTCAAATTTTTAACGCTTATAGAAATCTTCAGTTTGGTGTCACCACACCATTTATTGGGGTATCAGTGGTGATGAGATTAAAAACAACTTGGGAAGTAAGGCTACATATAATATAGGCTAATAGTTGCACAATGCAAGAATAAAATTGTAACTCAATAATGAAGTGTCATGGGGCATCTGCAGACTATAGTTGTAGTTTGTTTTTAAAAAAAAAAAAAAAACTATTTTTCTCTTATCCAAAATGTGTACGTTATTCTGTATATTTCTCTTTTTGACAAATAGCTCAAACACTTTTCCCTGGCGTACACGTAACAAAAAAAAAATTACATATGTGTTGATGGATGAGCTATATTCATGGATGTTGTAAAAAGACAGAGTAGTGTTGTAGACTGCAAGAATATAGAAAAATTCTGTAGGACAACAGATATCCATTTTATATAACTATTTCAGCATGCACTTGCTCTGTATTTTCAGAATGACATTAAAAGTGAGATGCTGTTTCAGTAAATTGTCTCAGATGGTATAAAAAAATAAAATGTATAAACAAAGGCTTGATTTAAATACTTTGTCAGCCACAAATCCTGCTATAGGATATTTATTTATTATAGAACATGCACATACTGTGAGTGCCCTTCCAATAGTTAATTGAAACACAATAATCGACAGTTACATTGAACTGCTAAAATCACTGACCATTGAAATAATACACTTATAGTCCGTTATATCCCATCTTCTAAATAACCAAATATTCTCTCCTGTCCTCATTCTCAGATTCCCAAAAATGAGTCTGTGTGTCTGAAAGATTAAAAAAAGCCAGGTTTTGTCAGACCATGGGGAAAAATGCATCCCATAGTTGAGGGACCTTCGCAAAGAATATCCCGATAGCAACTTTCTATATTCTATCAAGTGAGCGCTAGCTTGTGTTCCTCTGCTGGTTGCAACTGTTGTAGTTTAGAGCAAGGACTGTGGTGATTTCTCAGGACCCAAACCATTTAGGGCTTTAAATGTTAAAACCAACACCTTGAATGCCACCCAGTAGTCCAGAGGCAGTGTGTGTATCTTAGTTCAATGAATTTATGTGGTCCTAATGAACATAGCTCAGTGTGCTTAGCAACAATCTTCAGCGTCTGAATGGTCATAAGGTATAGAGTGTATTACAATAATCTCAAAGTGACAAAGACAGGGATGAGTGCACCAAGCGCAAATGAAACAGCTGATCGTACCACACCGGATGCATTCCCCAAAACTACTGCCTTTTCATCCCAGGGTATAACAATACCTCTAAATTGCAGACTTGAGTTGTTAATAATAACCTCCTGCCACAAATTTATGGAGCTCACATAACTATATAATAATTTGGGTTGCTTCCAAGAATCTAGTAATTCTCTATCTTATCTGGATTAAGCTTCAGCCAAGTAGTCCTCACCCGAGCCCAAATCTCTGGCATACACTATCAATCACTGTACTGGACCTGCCGAATTGCTTATAATGGAAATATACAACAGAGTTTCTTGATCATAATCGCTTGGAGTCAAATCAGAACTTCCACCACTGGCACTTCAGCTGTCTTCCCTCCTATTTCATCCTTTAAAAGTGTTCTGTAAATTATGGTGATCTTTGAGAGTGTTTAAGAACCTGTCGATAGTGGTTGACAAAAGGTTTTTAAAATATCCAACTGGATCATCAACAGACTACCCCATGGAGGGAGCTGGACAATCCAGCAAGGTTCTTCGTATAATTTGTTACAACCTTTTATGACATCCTTACATTCCTCACTTTATCCATGTAAAAGTGGCAAAGAGTCCTGTGGCACCTTATAGACTAACAGACGTATGGGAGCATAAGCTTTCGTGGGTGAATTTCGTGGTATTCACCCACAAAAGCTTATGTTCCAATACATCTGTTAGTCTATAAGGTGCCACAGGGCTCTTTGCCGCTTTTACAGATCCAGACTAACACGGCTACCCTTCTGATCCTTTTATCCATGTAGTGACCTAAAATCAGAAACACAAATTTTATTCGTACTTGCAAAAGCAGTGGGCCAAAGTAAGAGTGTTTCATTTATTCAGCAAAAATACCACTTATTCAGACCTAAAGAAGAGCTCTGTGTGGCTTGAAAGCTTGTCTCTCACCAGCAAAAGTTGGTCCAATAAAAGATATTACCTCACCCACCTTGTGTCTCTACCTATTCAGAAAATCAAAGTAAAGGTTTCCTTTGAATACATTTTTATGCTTAAAATGCTATTGTTTTTCCCCAGAAATTAGCCTGAATGTTCGAGATCCTCCAACTAAAATTAACATTATTCCAGAAAAAATGGTTAAACCGGAGTGGAGATTACCTGAAGTTAGATATCGGTTTGTCACAAGGTAAAATAAAGGTTTGTGTTCTGTTATGTGTGGCCTAATGTTTTGCTAATTTTTATTGAATTTTAACTGGGAATATTACAGGAAAACATCCATTATACCTTGTTATGTCTTCCCAACTTTTCTGCTCTGGACACTATTTAGGAATTTTTCAGAATGATTTAAATTTCAGGTCTTTAAGAATTATCAACCATTTCTCTTTAATTTTGTTTTTAGGTCAGAACTGGATAACTTACCGAACAATCATTCCTGTGATATTATTGGTCTTGTAATATTTGTAGGAAGGGCTGAAAGAACAAGAAAGAGAGGTTTTTATAAAAATTCTTTTCAACATTTATCAAATTATTACAATTTGGTGGAATATTATTTAATTTAAAAAAAATTTTGTCTGTGCAGAATATAGTGAAGATTTTTGGATTCATCGCTGGGCACATGTTGTTGATGGGACATCTGACCAACCATTCATACTGGAATTGTTTGCCACTTCTCAGCCGGATGTATTTGAACATATTCACCCAAGTATTTATCGTACAGTAGTCTGACTATTTTATTATTTACTTGTTTATTTCCGTTTACAATATTTTTCTATCTAGGCATCTTTGCCATGAATTCAAATTATCCCTAAAACTTCTCATCCCAACTCAGAAAATAAATGAGCAGTAATGAAAACAGACCCAAACAATGCCTACCACAGCAAAAGATGGTAGCCCTCATCATAACAGACCTTCCCCAATAACCCAGGTAAATAGATGGGCCTTACAGCGTACCCTAAAATTGAGCTGATCTGGCCTATTTTTAACCAAGTTTGAGTGAATTCCAATTTTGAAGCCCCTTGCAGAGAACACCCAGTTGGTAACCCCCTTTCTCAGCTCAAAAGACTCCCCAGCTGTAACTGTGACAGTATAGTACAGGGAAAGGGGCAGCCTCTCAGGTAGGCAAGTCCTAAGCTGTGTAGATCTTTACAGATAAAAACTAACGCTTTAAACTCCACCCAGAAACCAACAGGGATCCAGTAGCGATCACAGAGCACTCATGAGGGGTTCTCAGCATGCTGCACAGGTTAATAAGACTGCTGGATTGTGCATAATCTTCAGTTTCTGAATGAAGCCCAATGTATAAGACATTACGATCTTGAGGTGACTGAGGCACGTATGATGGTATCGGCATCTGCATCCAAAGGAATTGGTCGCAACCTCCTGGACAGATAGAGGTGGAAAAAGGCCTTCCTAGAAACTGCTGCTTTATGAGTGGCTAACAAATGCTGTGAATCAGATTATACTCCCCATATTGTAATGTTTAATATCAAGTATGCAGCTGCGCACCCTCAGTTTAATGGGCCATATATTCTAGTTGCTATCAGCATCTCTATCACCTCAATTTTATCTGCATTGCAGTTCTCATCCATGACCCAATTTTACTTAAACTCTGGCATTTGTCAGAATAGGCTGGGTTCAGTCAGAGAGAGCGCGCTGAGTAACAGGGTGCATGCATTACGTGCTTCTTTGCTAACCCTCCCGAAGGATTCATGTACAGATTGAATGGGAGGGGAGTCATGTTGAAACTGTGGAAATGGACATTTGAGCATAACTAGGGATGATGAGCAATTTCCTAAAACCACCATCTGGGATCTCTCAGCAAGGAAGGAACGGCCCTGTCTACTCAGGGTACTTGGGCCTGATCCAACACCCAATTATATCATTGGGAGACTTCCTTGACTTAAATGGGCTTTGGAACAGACCCCTAATCACTAGAAAATAGTGCCTTAGTATTTAAGGATAATACTCTGCTCTTTCTCTCTCTCTTATTCTAAATGTTTTTAAACCAATACACATTAAGGCCTGACTTTTCAGTGATGTTGAACACATAAATCCCATTGAAGTGAACAGGTGGTGCAGATGCTCAGCACCTCTGAAAATCAGATATCTAGGTGCATAAATATGGATTTGTGTGCCAAACTTTAGTTTGAAAACTTTGATGTACTTGTACTGAAGTATTAGACTGGTAATAGGATACAAAGCATTTTCATCTTTGAGTTACTAGTTTGTGTATAGAGCAGGTTGAGAAGGACTGTTAATTGGTTTGTGTGAAATGAGTTGGTGGCTTTAATTCAGTTGCTGGCAGGTAAGTGTCCACACCAAACACACAAAAAAACACAGTCACAGTTGGTATCCAGATTAGCTGTATCAACAAAGTCCAAGGATTGAATGAACATTAGGAGTTTACTATGCATTCACCCCAACACATTTTTTTCCATGCCAAGGAAGAAACACCTTTGTAGGGCAGCATGGGAAAACTTGCTCATATTGGTTCTGTGGATACAGGGCTTCAGTTTTATGTAAGATTGTATTGGCTTACCTGATATATCTTATTGATGATCTTTTTCCAATTGCTTAGTCAAGATTTTTCAGACACAATCCTAGTCTGTCATTTCTTCATTAAAGATTGTGAACTGTATATTTTTTCAGAGAGTGATGCTATTTCTGTTTAGACCATTGATTGTAACATCTTTTCAGAAGAAATTTTTTTCTCTAGTGTTTGGTACTTGATTTGTTTCTTCCGCTTTGAATGCAGCTGAAATTGACATAACTTTGTTATACTAGATCAACTTAAATAACACTTTCTTTCCCATGGCAAAAGTGATTAGTATGTATCACAGAAACATCTGTGATGAGATCACACCTCCAGCCACAGTAGCGTGAAACCTTAAGAATATATGGCGTTACAGGTTGGTGGGAGGGAGAGAAATTAACTACTATTTCTTGTACTCTGTGTTTTTTGGTTAAGGGGAAATGAGTTTGGAGGGGGAGGATGTTCTGTGATGAAGTTTTGAGGAAAAATCTGGAATGGTATCACAATTAAGCCCCTTTTAACTATCATAGTTGTTTGGCCTTTTTTGCAGAATACTTGAAATATCAAAGTTGAGGAAATCAAATGTAGAATTGTATACGACCATAGTTGCTGTTTTTAATTATTAACACTGATAGATTCCATTGTGTCACATAATGAAGAATTAGTAAGGCTGGCTGGAAGACAAGAAATTCTGTTCTAATGTGGAACAAAAACGAGACCTTTCAGAAAAATTTATAAAAAACGTGAGCAAGGCTGATCCAAGAATAGCCGATAGCCTGGTGCTTAACACGCTCCATCTGGATGTGGGAGACCCAGGTTCAAGACCCAGGGAAGTGCCTGAACCACTGGTCTATAATCAGTCTCTCTATCTCTTTGGCCTTATTAGGATTTAATTATTTACTCAAAGTGGAACAGTAGCTCCAACATATATGAGAGAGAGAGAGAAACTACTCTGGCACATAGGAAAGTTGTTTTTTTTAATGCATAGTTTTAATCTGAACGCAAATCTTCATGAGACAAAACATCTGTGATGTTTGAATTGTGAAATATTAACTTAATTGTAGCATGGTTTGCCAAGGCCTGAATCCTGCCAATACTTGTACAAATGTTTAACTTCCATTGAAATCTTATTGCTTTGTTTAACAGCTATGAATCCAATTCCATCCCCAAATTGTGAGCTCTGACAACAAAAGAGTGAAGCATTGACCACATGGTTAAGTTTTTGCAGGATCAAGAGTTAAGATACTTTTTTTTTTTTAGTGCATATTTAAAACTACTTTGGTATGGGACAGCTTTGGAATCTTGATATACCAGAAAAAACTGAAATGATTTTTTCTCTCTAGTGACCTATTTGGTGTGCACACAGATGAGAGTGGTGCGGGACATCACTGAGAATACTCCCAGAGCACTTTACCTTACAACTTCAAATGAGAGTCAGATGTTTATTACAGGTAAATAAAATATTATTTTTAAATTAATTTTACATGACAAGTACTGCATGTTATATATTCCTCGATAAATGAGGTATTTCAGCTTGAAGATGTCCATAGTATTTCTAGATACAGAGCAAAAACAATTAGCTTTTAAAGCAGATTCCAACATCACACTGTAGCATACCTTGCATTCCTTCCTTCATTCAGAGATGTTATTTTACCAAAGCGCCACTTCTGAAATCCTCTGGAGAGTCAATAAATTTTATTTTTCCATTTAATGACTTCAGGTTCCTTTTTCTCTCTCACACTCCCACTCCCAAACAAAATACCCTCATATTTAACTCCTATTGGCCTGATTATAAACTTGAGACCAGTCCAGTTTCAGCATTCATAAATTGGCCTGTCCGGAAAGTGGTTAGGTTTCCTTCACGTCTACAAGACGTGCACAAGAAGACAAAAGAAGAAAGAAGGAAAATGAAGTTATTGAGTAAAACTATTAAAACTTCATTGAGCTAATGTCAGATGGACTCTAAACAAGCCATGATGAGAAGATATGAGCTAACTGATATTGAAAGGCAGATCAGGACAGTTATGAGCTGAAAATATTGAGATTGTTACAAAAGTTAGAACATTGCAGTATGGTAACCGAAAGATGTAAGGTGTCTTCCCCTGCTAAATCATCATAGTATATTTTAAGAAATTATAATAATATATCCAGTGTTTGTGCTATTGTTGGGTTGGTCCATATGAAGACTCGTTAATTGCTTCATTACAGACTATTTTAAGAACTTGACACTCCTACATCATATGCAACAAGGAACCTTTATAAAAACTGTAATTCCATCAATTGCTTTTTTCATAGATTCCAGTGTTCCGTTCTATTGCAAAAAGGTCCTGTATAGCTTTTAATCTTAAATTCAGCCCAGTAAACATTCTTCCCCAGACATATCCTTGTTTTACTATCCAGTTTGTTCTTTCTACAGTATTCCTGACATGGTATGTCAGCCCAGACAATGAGTACTGAGTCCCTTTATAGGCAGATGGAAACAAGAAAATACACTTTTATGTCATTATAAAAATATCTGGATGCCTCAACACACTCAGTTGGGTCTGCAGAGGAGCTTCTGATTGGCTGAATCAGGATTAGCCACAAATCTTCCTCTTGACAGAGGTATCTAGTTCTAGATTTCAGAGCTTCCAAATGAAGGACTTCTGATTTTTAGTGTCCTCCTGACTTGCTTCCAGTATGTTAGCTATTCTGCTTTATATCCACCTTGCTCCTAAATCAGAGCATCAGCTAGCATCTCAAAATCATCGGCTGAGACTGTTTTCAGCTCAACAGCCTCTAAATTGGTCTATCTTGCTGCGGACACAGTGGTAACAGGAGAATAGGGTCTCCTTTGATGAGGAAAAGGTAACTTCTTGGTGTGAAATGCTGCTTCTTGCTCATCTTTTTTACTCTGTTGTGTGGGACAGAATATAACTAGCTAGTTCTAAAAAGAGTGTTTAACTGTTTTACTACCCAAATGTTAGCATTTAGGGTACCTAAGAGTTTGTGTGTTTAAATCCAAGTGCCATATATAAGGGTCCCATTTCACTTTTTCATAAAGCCACTATTGAGTGCTAGAAGGGACATTGTGTTAGCATCTCTGACTTGGCTTTTTGTGCATATTGCTGTATAGTGTTCAAATGTAGCAATTTATAAAAAACAATTATTTAATCTATTTGATCCTTTTATTTCAATATTTCAATAAAACCTTTTGTTTTAACAGGGTGGCACAAAGGCCAACCATATACCAGAGATGCCAAAGTGAAAAACTTTATCCAGTGGATTAAAACTCAAAGTGAAGCTGATCAAATGAAGAAAACTGTAATTGGTGGATACTGTCCTTTCCCACCAGCACCAAATACTTTTTTGAAGTATTGTAAAAATAATAAAGGTATCCTGCACCATACCTAATATCCCCATTACATGTGCCTCAATCTGAGATGTCATCACAAGTATTCAAAATTAGCAACTCTGATTGCTTTGCACCTGGATTATATCAATGGTTAAATACTGGAATGTCCTTCAAGGAACAAGTATTATGTAGCTGCTGAAGATAGACTCTGAACCAAGGCCTCAGCTGGTATAAATTGTCATAGCTCTATTGATGGCACTGAAGTTTTGACAGTTTACGTCAGCAGAGAATCTGCCCCTCTGAATGTATACTCCATAGATGTTCTGTTCTGTACCATCTGCTTCAGCTACATCTTCAATCAGCTTGAAAGTCAGCATCGTATTGAAGAACATAAGATTTGATAATGATAAAGAACTTCCTCAGTAGTATATTAGGCAGAGCCTTGAATAACTATGATAATTCAGTATTAACTCTGAGCTTGCTGAAAAGCTTTGCTCCCCAAATATTCTGAAAATGAGAGATGAGAAAACAGGAGGATTTAATTACTGAGAATTTCAATTTTAAGACAATAATCTAAATTTAGCAATAAGGTTCTTTCCAATTATTTTTTATGAATCCAACATTGATACTTTTTAGTAGTTTTCTATTTCTTTAAAACTTAAATTTGTGGGAATTCCTCTTTTGCAGTTGAATCAGTTTTGAAAGCCATAAGCGAAATGGAGAGGGAGATTGAAGACCTGCACTACAGGGAGCACAAGCGCTTTGCTGTTCAGGGGATAATTAGTGCTATAAAATATGTCAGCTATGCAGCTGAAGATGCCTCAGGAGTGGAACCAATTCAGGTACAGTGCTTGAGGATTAATAGTATAGCACTTAAGATGCTGCGATCGTAATTACAATTGAGATCTCTTGCATTTGAATTCAGAACCAACATACATTGTCTCTTGATTAACTGAATTTACCATTCTGAGCACAAGAGAAGCATGAAAGTCATAGTTTAACTTTTAAAACTTAATGATTTACTTGTTTTCTGTTACAGTCTTCAATAAAAGTACCTGCTGTATAAAAGTTACTGATTTAAAAACTAATTAAATAGCATAGTTAAAGTAAATTAGGGACTGGGAGAACTGGCTACTTTAATATAACCTATCACTTTCTAGACAGAGGTGTTTTCTTTTTTTCTTTAAACTTGATTAGAGAGGATTTTCTATAAAGCAAATTTGCTCGACACTATGATGGCGATACCCTAGTCTCAATCTTGTATCCAATTCCTCATAAAGTTATTGGAGGAAAACTAACTAGAGATCAGTCTGATCTCTTTTTGAAATTGAAGATGAAATAGCTTTAATTGTTTATCTGTTACAGGAAGATAGAGACCAGTCAGCATCTCAAAAAACTATAAAAAACACTGGTATGTCTAAAGATTGTGTTACGAAAGGGAAAAAGCGAAGCCATCGAAATAAAGAAGCTAACTCCGTACTTGATTCACAATGCGCTTCATTGGAACAACAGCAGCATCCACGTATGTTAACCAGAAAGAGTCGAATCAAGAGAAAGATCGAACACCGTACAGAGCCTGAAAAGTAAGCCTGTTGAATAAAGTGTGGTTATATTAATTGTTCCATTTCACTGATCTACTATAGATATATAGAGTAAGATTTTTAAAAAGTACCTAAGTGATCTAGCAGTACAAGTCCCATTGAAAGGCAACTGACTGAAACTATAAGCAGCCCAATTAAAAATGGTAATCCTTGTTCCTTATAGACCCAGTCTTGCTCCCATTAGTCAATGAAAGCAGGATTGAAGAAAACACCTTACTGACTAGAACTTTGTAAGCCATGGAAATGATTCTGCAGAAAATCATCCTCCTTAGCTCTTGCTATATTCTTGCAGCTATTATATTAATTCTCAGTCATCTGAACCACTGGTTCTGAGTTTATTTTCTCCAAAAACATAAATTTCATTGGATTGCCATTCTTGATTAAATACTTGTGACATTATCCAGGGTACAATCTGTACAGCCCTCTGCGGATACAAATTGATATCCGTGGATGCGGATAGAAATCGGTATCCGCTGAACCACAGGGCTCTCCTGGGAACCGCAGTGACCAAAGGAGCAGAACGTGGGGCCACCACTCCCGGGAGCCAGCGCCCCGCACCAGCAGCTCCTCCAGCACGGCTATACAGACCTCAGACAGGAGACACAGTCTCGCAAACAGCTGCATGGACGGGGGCGGGGCTGAGGGAGATACAGCTGTACGGGAGGAGCAGTCGGTGTGGGGCACTGGCTCCTGGGAGTGGTGGCCCCACGTTCTGCTCCTTTTGCCGCTCTGGTTCCCAGGAGAGCCCTGCGGTTCAGCAGATACCGATTTCTATCCGCAGGTATCCGCATCCACAGATATCAATTTTTATCTGTGCAGGACTCTAACAATCTGGACTGTTGAACAGCTGTGTCCCCTCAATTCTCCAACCTGGGGTGCCTTTCACACTGTTTCTCTGTGAGAGCAACCACTCCTAGTCTGCTCTCACAAAGCCTCCAGAATGTAAATTACTCCCAGCTATACTGAATGAGTGCTATGGCCAGCCTCTCTTGAATAACACTGCAGAGTAACACCAGCAAATTCCCAGTCCCAGACTTTCCCCCAGAAATATGAATATTGTACTGCCCAGCCCTCTACGATATGCACAAATCCTGTTATCTCAAATGGTGTTCCCCAAACACTTCAGTCCAACCACAGAGGTTTAGATAAAACAATAAAACAAGTTTATTAACTACAGAAAGATAGATTTTAAGTGATTACAAGTAGTGAGGCATAAAAGTCAGAATTGGTTACAAAGAAATAAAAGGTAAAATGCATCTAATACCTAACTTAAGCTTAGTGAATTCAAAGCAAAAGTCTCTCTCACCACATGCTTCAGCAGGATCCCTCCTTCAGTCCTAAGCTGTTTCTTTGTTCCTCAGGTGACATGGCTGCCATGGGCAGAGAGAGAGGGAGGAATAAGTTGGGGCATCTGTCCCCCATTTTTATACTTCTTCTTTGAGTATTATCTCCAACTGGGGTTCAGGATGCAGAAAATGTGTTGGGATGGGAATCTCCAGCTGTTTCTTTGCCAAGATGTAAATTTCTCCCTCACGCCCTTTTCCCTGCCAAAGAATGGCCACTTAACCAGATGAGGGGTCATTTGATTCTGTTGATACCTGGCTCAGGCATCAGTTTGCCTTTTGTCCCTAAGGAACTGGTTTGTGGCTGCTTTTCTAAACTTGGAACATGTCTCAGTATGTCATACAGTAGAATTTTATAACTTTACATACAATGTTGCCACAGTCGTTTTACCAGGACAAAAATGATCAGCAAATTATGAGTTTCAAATGATACCTCATAAGGCATACTTTGTACAAAATGTATCATAGTCTTGTAAAAGGGGTGAGCATACGGGTACAAACTGTCACAGTACTCCAGCATGCAGACTTGGAAGAAACTCTCACAGCTCTAAATTTCTGCACCGTTGGACCTAGCAAGTAGCATCATGAATGCTTTAAGAATTTTCAGACATGTGGCATTCCACTTGCCCTGATTAAAACAATCAAGTGGACCACAGTGCTTTTTATATACAGGGAGAAGCAGTATCATACCTATTGTGATGAGAAACAAACTCTGGTGTGAGAAGAGTCCCCACAGGAGACATTCCTGGGGATTACCAACCTGTCAGGAAAAGCAAATGCTAAATCATAGAAAGGTTAAGCCGGTGGATTAAAGGGCATACGCAGGTTGTGTTGATCAACTAGCAGTGATCAAATCTTTCTGGAGTTGGGTGACAGTCAAGCTAGATCTCTTTAGACCAGGGGTCTCCAAACCTTTTGAATCGCGCACCCCCAGGGCCAGCTCTGGGGAAACAAAAAGAAAAGCTGCCTCTGAAGACGGAGTGGGGAGAGCTGAGCTGCCGCCAGCATGCCGGTGGCACTCCTCCTGCCGCGCACCCCCACGGATGGTCTTGCACATCCCACTTTGGAGGCCACTGCTTTAGAGCATAATACTGATGTTCGGAACAAACATTTCTGTGTTTGTTTGTGATGGGAGGATTCTGTGTGCCTTCCAACCCATATCTGTGGTATCAGGAGTCCTGGCTAGGGTTAGCAGAAATGAATGTCGGCAGTAGCTACTGCTGTGAGCTGGCAAACGTGCCTCCACGGGTAGTTGTGACGGCACACTCAACCAGGGCACAAACGTCATCAGCGGCCTTTCTGGCACAATCCAAGAGATCTGTAAGGCCACTACCTGGTCGTCTGTCCACACGTTCGTGTCTCATTATGCATTTACCCAGCAAGCTCAAGATGATGCTGGCTTGACACAGCAGTGCTGCAAGCTGTACAACAGTGAACTCCAAGTTCACTGCCATGGACACTGCTTGTGAGTCACCATGAATGGGCTCGAAGAAGAAAAAACTATTACCTACCTTTTCGTAACTGTTGTTCTTGGAACTGTGTTGCTCGTGTACATTCCATTACCCGCCTTCCTGCCCCTCTGTTGTAGTTGCCGCAAGAAGGAACTGAGAGGGCTTAGTATAGAAACCTGTTTATGGGCTATGCGTGGTTCTCAACCCATTTACTATTGTGGGCTGCATATGCAGCTCTTTGTGTTATGTGGGCTGCATCCACAATATACATACTGTATGGCCCTGAGGTTGTTACGTGGGCCGCAGCTATGTGCTGTTTGGGCTGCAAGCAGCCCGTGGGTTGAGAACTGCTGGTCTATGACATTCAGCTCTGTTTCTGCCAGGGCTACACATGTCGTTTTCAGCAAGTTTCCACTAGAGGGCGAGAAATGCTGTTTTTAACGTAAAACATTTTTCTGTAGATTTCACTGATTCACGTGTCAAGAAATGCATTTAGTCTTGAACTTTGAGAAGGTTTATGCTGAGAAAAATGATTCTAGTTATCTCAAATGTTAATTTCTGAGCTCAATGTCAGAGTGATCCTTATCAATAAAAAGAACTCTTATCAAGGTCTGGAGTTTGTGCTTTAGAAGTTACAGGTTTTTTATAACCTAGTCACCAAACACACACACAATTTTATGTGAAGCTTGAAAACCTCAGAATTAACTGTAATTTTTCCTTTTATAGCTTGCATGAATTTCAGCAAGAAGATTCTGTTCCAAAACAAAATATCTTGACTGAGCCTGACACTTCACAACCTGATAGAGGTATGTGGCTAAATATTTTGTTTGGCTGCGATCATTCCAGTATTTTACAAAAGATGTAGATCTAGACTTTCTCCGCTCAGGCCCAAAGTTGGGGGACAAAGGTGGTAGTATACCACCTTTACATCCCCTGTCCCCACCATCCTTGAGCTGGTTCAGCCCTTAATACAATGTAGAGAAGCCCCAGGACTGTTCTTATTTACATCAAGCTGCAACAGCCTCTAAGGAACCATTCTGGCAACTAGGTATCAGCATCTTTTCCCCCAACACATGCTGGGGTGGCTGTATGAGTGGTAGAACACAACTGTATTGCTCTATGCCACTGTGTAAGGAATCCTTAATGTCTCTTTAGCTGGCTTTGAGTCCATGTTGCATCTCTGGAGCAGGGCAGAGGACCTCGTCTCTATTTTTGTTGTTGGTGTTGCAGTAGTGGTCCAAATGTGGTAGTGTTTCCAAAGTCAGGAAAGTCTTCCCAGATGATAAGTACATTCTAAAAAAAGTCAGACTCTGAGGAAAGGTAGTAACATACAAGCAAGTAATCATGGTGATGAGAGTTACACATCTTATTAGCTACATGTTTGGACTTTTTTTTTTAAGTTAAACACATTAGAATTTCCCTGTCTTGTTCTTCGTCTATATTTGAAAGTTAAATCCAGATGTTTTAAACAGATATTATCTCAAATTATATCTGTTCCTAGTGTGGGCTTCATTTGTAAGTTTACTATCAATATATGTAAACTCTATCTTATTCCATGCGGAATCTGCATTATTGTAATTGTTCATAGTGGGAGCTCACGCAATCAGATGTTCATGATGGCGTTTATATATATTAGACTGGCAAAGAAAGTGTGGTGTCGGCTGCAGAGAGCTCTCTCCAGCCAGCTGGGCTTCAAATACTTACTTTGTTTCCTTTTAAATACCATCATTCTCTTAAACGTGGATTTCAGCATCTCACTTTTCAGTAGCAAAAGGCTGTAACTTCTGCTGTCCTGTCCTAATTTCACATCTGTTTGTGTTGATTCAAATATGAGAGGACATGCAAATTACAGCCCCAGAATATAAAGAGAGGAAAGTAAGAGAAGGCATGATTGAAGTTTGAGAAGGGGAGAGATATTTAATCCTGGCATTTATATCCCAGCAATTTTTAACTTTAATACCACAAAATCCTGCAAATAAGGTCTTAACACTTATTCTAGAGGGTCGCAGTTACAGTATTTTTCTTTCTTCTCTTAATGTAATTATACAGAATATCCCAGTAAAATTTCTTTTCAGCCAGCTATCTTTCTAACCAGATGTGGATGTTTAGTTGCTCAAAATTAAAAATGGCAATAGCATGAAATTTAACACTTGGTATACTGTACCACTGATATAAGGCAGCGCTACCAAAGAGTTGCAGTTCTAACAGCCAGCATTGTTATGGAATGCCTAATAATGTTCACTTTCCCAATGATATAACACGCTGCTTATAAATTTAAAAGATTAAAAGCAACTGTTACATAATCAAGCAGCTAAGCTTTTTGTTTTAGTTTTTTGAGATGTCATTGTTTTCAGTTTCATTTGACTCATCTATATTTAATAGTAATTTCCCCCTATCTAATGCATGACCACCTTAATCATCCATATAGTAAACTGAGAGAGTGCTTATGAATGGGGGAGGATGGTGGTTGTAAACTTACTATACACACCAGTTTTGTGAGATAAGTCCTGCTCCATGCTCTGCACAAGGGTTCTCCAGACAGCACTCAAATGCTAGTGCAGTTTCTTAGGCCCACCAGTTTTCCTTACTTTTCACTATAATTCCTTGTGTCTCATCCAATGCAGTAATGGTCGTGTACTCTGCTTGTTTAATGGTCTTCCACTTGGGTGTTGCCATTTCTGGTTTAGCCATATACACCCTGGTGTCTTCAGTTCTTTGGGACAGCTAAAGCTCCGTTGTAATAACTACCGTCGTGCTTCCTGCGAAGCAGTGAGGAAATTTGCACACACAATTCATGTGACTAAATTGGAAATAGCAATACAAGTTTTCATAGTATAGTATCAGGATGGGGGCACTATTTGTGGGGAGGGCAAGACAAAATAGGGATAACTGGGAAAAAAAATAGGCTGGTTACATTTCGGAATGGGCCTAGTGGTAAGCTCACAGAATGGGGACTTGCCTACAAAATTGGAAAAAAATGGTTTCTTTGAAGTTTTTCCAGTTCTTAGTTCACAGGTTACATATAATGGTAGACATAGGGACTTACAGTTAGCTATATAACTGGGACTCTGCACAATATACATTATAAGGCAGGGGTTCTCAAACTGGGGGTCGAGACCCATCATGGGGTCGTAAGGTTATTACCGGGGGGGTCGCGAGCTGTTAGCCTCCACCCCCAAACCCTGCTTTTCCTCCAGCATTTTTAATAGTGTTAAAAATGTTCGGGGGGTCGCACTCAAAGGTTTGCTTGTGATAGGGGTCACCAGTACAAAAGTTTGAGAACCACTGTTATAAGGTACAGCCAGTAGTCTTCATTGCATGAATATACGTTGTACAGAAGGTGGTAAAGAATATCATCATAAAGTACCTGTTTCCTTTTTATACTTCCCGAGTGTTGGTAAAACAAAGTGACTGGGGAGGTGACTGGTCCTTATCCACCCAAAAGCAAGCAATGAATGGCACCTTCCAACCAATAATTATTTTTATGAATCCGGTCTTCAAACTGTAGCTGGAAACAACATACAGTATTTACTAACAGTCCAGCCTTAGCTTAATTCTTTATGCATTCTTCGTTTTGATTTTTCCACCTATATTTTCACATTTGACTTTAATATTAATCTATTCATGAAATTTTTGCTTTTCCTAATACATTGGGGGGGTGGTATGGTTTTGTCTATGCATATTGATCAACTAAATGTTTAATGTATTTATAATAGCAGACAAACAGGGAGTGAATGATGCACCTGAAATAGAAGAGATGGGAAGAACTTCTCATGATTCATGGCAAAGTGATCTGTGGGTAATGGTGAAAGACAACTTAATAGATCACTTGCATTACTGCACTGTTTTCCCAGAAAGCATCCCACGTAAATTTGATTATATGCTCAAAGAATTCCTTATACAGCAATACAATCTACATCCAGCTGTGCACAATCCAAAAGAATACATAACAAATAAAGAAATTCATGAATTTAAAAGTGCCAGTGGCCCTGGGCACTATGAAGTGACTATACTGGGTAAGTGACAATTAGTACTTTAATTTTTTTTAGGAAGAAATCCTAGCAATGTAAGGTTTGTTAGCATTCTCAATGTTTAACAAAGAACTGTTTAACTTTCTATGAAGTTGAATGGATACTTTAGTATAATTTGGGCATTATGCTAAATTGCTAAGTTAAGAAATGAATGAGGTTCTTTTTATATACAATCTTGTTAAATGTACAGACTGATTTTTTTTTAACGGATAATATTAAGGAGGCACCACTCCAAACTCCATAGTTAAGTCTGAGTTGAGTTTTACACTAAAAGCAGGTAGTCTCCAGACTTACAGCACATTTTGAGTACAGCATTAATTTTCTGATGATTTTCAAATTTCCATGTAATTTGAGTTAAGACCTATTTTAAAATTAATTTTAAAGAAAGTTAAAATTTGGCTTTTGGATGTTTCCTTACTTTTTTTTTTAAATAGAACAAAAACAAACTGTTCAAAATATCAGTTTGAAAAACAGCATTAAATTTTTGTGGAAAATATCCTGCCCGCCCCCACTCCCACCTCCCCTTTTTTTAGCTTAAATTGTGAATTTGAAAGTTGCTTTCTAGCTGTACTTTCTGTGCAGTTAAAATTCACTTAAATCTGGTTTCTTGGCTACATTTGAAGAGACTGGGTTGTAATTAAGCTATTAAAATTTTGTTTTTATGTAACTGTTAGGATTACGGACAAGCATTGTTCGGTAGGTCAGATCATTCTTAAGTGGAGCTATTTTGAAAACAGCAATAACCAATCTCCACCCTTTTTCTCCAGCTATTTTACATGCTGGAAATGTGTTTGTTGAAATGAGTCAGTGGTGTAAAGGGAACTGTACGTATGTTTCAAGAGTACTACTTCAGCCTCATCTATAACTGGACTGGTTCCAACTGCAGAGTGGATTTGATTTAAATCATGATTTAAATCACTAGTCAGGAAGACTCAATTTAATCATGGATTTCTACATAAAAGTGCATTTTTTGTTGGTTGTTATAACTTTAATACACATTCTTCACAACGCAGAGATAGATGTAGGTTTCATTTTTAGAAGGTACACACTATACCTTTTTAAGTGATTTGTTTTGAAAACTTTTCAGATTAGTTTTACAGCTATATCAGAAAATAAATAATTGGTTATTTCATTTACCAAAGGTAATTGAAGCAGATATTTATGAAGTCACTAGGAGGTGAACTATCTCCAATTCAGCAGGTTAATATTTGGAGGATTTTCTTGCTGTATTAGGAGGAGAACATCACCACACAGACATTTAAATTGTTTTATTTAACTAAAACAACAACGTTATGTATTCTGGATTTTTTTTCTTCAACAGCAAACATATAATATTGTAACAAAACAAGCATATGAACTTTTGAATCAGGTTTGTTTTTGTTAAAATTGTTTTTAACTAAAATAGTTAAGTGAAATATTTAAAAAAAAAATGAAATAGTCTATGTCAGCCAGGTCAACATGAGAAACTTTAAAATATTGGCTTCTGCAGCTAACTCAGTCATCTTCACCTTCATTTTCCTGTTCATTCATAATCTGGAAAAGAAAAACAAGCTTTCCTGCTTTTTCAGGTCACAAACTATTTCTCAATTTGGAATGAATTAGTCCAAAGGAAGAAAATATTCTTACTACACCAGCAAAAGAAGCTACTGCTGTTAAAAGTGAGATTATCACTTCAACAGTCTCTGAATTCAAGTGCTTAAGTGACTTCTACCAGTTCACTGGTATACCTTTCTTTAAAACATCATCAGCAAACATATATTTCTTGAATGATTCACCCTTAGCTCTGAAGTTTATTATGGTTGGTATTATGGAGGGATGATTGCTGGATGTCCATGTCATAGCCAGCTCCTCTTCTTCAGCAGTTAAGGTTTGACCCTGGTACTGAGTATTGAGAATATTTGCAAGAAAATGAGCTAGAGATAGTGCTTGTCCCATTCATTTTTTTAATGTTTGCAATTTAACTCTGTCATTGTATATTTCTCTCTTTAAGATCTCACTCCGTTCCTTCCAAATTTCAACAGCATCAGCAATAAAACAGCTATTTCTCTGCATTTTGTTCAAGGCTACAGAAGTAGGCTTCAGAGTACTCAGCATGTGTTCAACATTTCTCCTAAGCCCAGTGTTGAGAACTTTGCCATCTATTTTTTCACGATTTTGTTCACAAACTGTCATCAGATTAGGCCAGGTCTTGATATAGGGCTCAAAACAGTCCACTACTGAGTTGCATCGTACATCTTGTAGGAAAGTTAACTTGGTTCCTCCCACTTTTTTCAGAGCAGCTGCTGCAAAGTGGTTGTTATGGAAGTATTTTGCAATTTCAACATTAGCCTTTATTTCTGGAACACTGACGTCTTTTGCTAGGAGGTGCATCAAATGAGCACTGCAACTGTATATTATTAGCTTGGGACTCTCTTCTAAATAATTGCTTCTCATCTTGGATACATTTGCAGCATTGTCTGTTTGAATTTTTTTCAGTTTGTTATAGCTTTTTGTAAGTATTCTGTTGTGTGCGCATTTTCTGATGTATCAATTGTTTCTGTAAAGAAGACCTTCCCTTCTTCTGTTGTCACACAAGCACATACAACAGGATCATTGTGGACATTGCTCCACCCATCAAGACTCAGGTTAACAATTTTACGCTCTAGACCTTTTGCACACTGCTCAATTTCTCTTTCATATGCTTTATCCAGCAATTTGCCTGCAACATCTGCTCTGTTGGATGGACTGTATTCTGGTCTTAATGACTGAACCATGTTAATGAAGTGGGGGTTCTCAATCATACAGAAAGGAGAGTTTGTTACATAAACAAACTGGGCAATTTTTTCATCAATGACCTCTTTTTGTAATCTGCTAGTTCTTACCACAAACTTTTCTACAGTTGTTTCTGGATGATGGAGATTTTTTTTTTTCTTTTTGCTTCGGGTGATATACTGTGGCTGTGTGACATACATGATGTGACTGAAACAGTATCATTGGCAGATAACTCTGAAAATATAGAAAATGATGGTGGTCTTGAAGGTGGATAGTCTTCAGAATCCTGTATGTTGAGGATGGATTCTCCTAAACAAAATAAGTCAAGGCAGTTATTTAATTATTATTACCATACTGCTCATTTGGTATTACTCATTGCATTCACTGACAGTACTACTTTAAAGGTGAAATTTTAAAAGGAAGATCTGCCAATTTCAGCTGTTTATTTTTTATCACAACTGCATCTAAAATGATAGTACCATAGAGTAACAACTATATTTTTTGCTCAAACATGAGAATTCAAGAACAGTCCAGAAGGAAGACAGGCAGTCCTTAAGAAAGAAGTATGAAATAAAAGTTTACCAACCTGAAGATCCTGCATGTTCAGACATGTTCCTTTCATCATCTTCAATGCACCTTCCTCCTGAGAAGGAACACTTCTCATGATGTTGTTTCATTTGGGCAACCAGGCCTTGCATTTCTTCGTTTTACTGTTTGCATTTTGCACGCATGCCTGTCTTACTTAAGGTAGAGGAACTTCATTAAAATATTCGCAAACTGGGTCTCTCTTATGGCCTGCTGCCATTATAGGTTTTCGTTTCTAGTGAGAGAATGGTATGGTAGATCTCAAACTAATGAAGGCTGCACTCAGAAAGACCTCAAGACTTCTGGAATATGCTGCTCAAACAGTTTCACTTTTGTTTCTACTGCCTGTCCCTCCCTTCTCACATTTATCTCCAGACTTCTTCTCCTTGTCCAAAACTATTCCACCCCCAACAATTTTCTATTCACTGAACTTTCTGAAACTTTGCACTTTTAGAGAGAGGTAAGGGATTGACTTTGTGTACACAAATTTGCAGAGGGACAATAGAGTTGAGGTCTGTTATTTCTCACCTCTGTATATTTATTTATTTATTTTATTTATTTAAGACATTTTCGCTGTTAACAAGCATGTTATCTCTGGAGACACAAACCCTCAGTTTGAGAACTGCAAAACTAAGCATCTCTAATGGTATCTTCTAGACTGAGCACTGAGTCCCATTGTGTAGATAGGAAGATTAACCTAAATCTATACAGACCCCATAAGATTGGGTCCCCCTTAATCCATGAACTATTGGAACTCATTTACAAAACTTTTTCTTAAATATTATGTGAATATATTGTCTCATACTCTAGAATTAGAATTTATAATTCCTATTCCATGATGAGCTATCTATGAGCTATAATGTATCTTTAGATAGGTTTTTTTCTTGAAAAAGCATTTTATCAAAAAAAATCCAACTTTTGTGATTTTTTTTTTTTTAAATCATTGATTTTTATCCACCCTGTCCAACTGTCATTGCTCTGAATCATGGCTGCATGCTATTAAATTAAGCTACTTTGTGCTGCTTCAGAGTAGCACAAAGTAGCCAAGTATACTAGTGAATTGGTCTTGAATCATTTAAAATTAAATATTTAAATGTTATCCATATCTTCAGTTCATTAATAGTATTGTGATGTTACTGTTTTTACATTTATTCCATGTTCATGTATTACATTTATAATAATTGAACAAGGAAATTTCCAGGTGAAAACTGTTAAGATGGATTTCAGGCTGAGTATGTATCAGTAACTTAAGAGTGCAAAACATAATAGCTTTTGGGGTTACTGCAAGCATTACAAACCTAGGAAATTCAGATAAGGTTACATTTAAAAGAAATCCAAACATGTTATGGGCAAGATATGTACAGTTAAGGCACCTAAGCAACTTAACTCTCTGTCCTGTAGTGACACCATGGGGACAGAGAGGAAAACCTCTTTAAAAATTGGTTTCATATACTGAAACTACAAATACTATAAAATCCCTTTATCATAAAAATATGGTTATTGCATGATGTCAGTTTAAATATATGTAATATTAGTATGCATGTGTAAGTGTACATATTTTCTGTTGAAACTTAGTTTATCTGAGATTGTTTAGTACGTAATGGGAACAGAGGGGTATGGGTGAATATCTTATGACAACTTGCATATGTTCAGATTGGAATAGCTGGGTTTAAATGCGGTAATTGGTAAAAGAATTACTGAAGAGAAATAAACACTGTGCATTAAACTTATTACAAACTGAAGGTGAAATATTTTGCTGAAATAATTCTCTCTTAACAGGGATAAACCATGATGTGGCTATAGATGTTGCATTCCCACCTATGTTTTGTCCTGAAGATCCTCATTTATTTCGAATAGAGGATATTCAGAATGATATGTTGTTATCCTGTATGAGCTGCATCTCTGTGTGTCAGCAGGACACCACGAGCAATCAAAAGCTTTATGACACGTTTCCACTTTCAAGTAAGAATTGCTATTATTGGTATTACTCATGTATCGATTTCTTCTTTTATCTCTGAATGTAAGCATTAATATTGTATACAGGTCCCTATTTGTAAGTCAGGCATTCGGCACCCCGTCTCATAGGATACATGTATGCTTTCACTTAACACCTTTACTAGATACTGTAGACATGAGGTCTGTCTTTCAGGCCAGTCTTCACTAGGCCTACCTTTCTGCAGCCATAAGTTAGCAGGTGTAAATAAGAATGCTACGAAGTTGGATATGTAAGTACCTGCTACACACACATTGAGTCACTTCTGGATTACCTGTATTGTGCCTGCAGTTATTTGTTTGCACAAAATTATACTAGCAGAGAGACCAGGTTTTTTTAATATTTGGCCCAGAATCTGGTCCATAAATGAAACACTGCAGCTTTCAATCATTCATTCCTATTTCACTGATGGCATTTCAAGGAGCCAGCACTCAGCTAGTGCAACTTGCAACAAGTAAAAGCTGAAGTTTTTGTGTACTGTTAATTGTCTTTTAAATTATAGTTCCATGTAATGGCTGCCCACAAAAAATATGTTAGAGGGAGCTAATGTTTGTAGCACACTTCAAATGTGTAAAGTGCTATGTAAATGCTGGAAATTATCCATCAGAAATAGAAATACTTGATTTTAATTAAGTCCATTTTTTTGCTTGCCCCATACCAAACTGCTTGAAGAATAGTAAATTTTTCTTTACGTGGACTAGCATGTAAATTGTCCTCGTTCTTCGAGTACTTGCTCATGTCCATTCCACATTAGGTGTGTGTGCTTGCCACATGCACCGGCGCCGGAAGCTTTTCCCTCAGCAGTATCCGGAGGGGCCGGCTCTGGCATCCTCTGGAGTGACGCCAGCATGGTGTGGTATAAGGGGCGCCGCCGGCTCCTCCCACCCTCAGTTCCTTCTTGCCACCAGTGATGGTGCTGAAACCTCTGCTGCTTCGGCTTGAGAAACACCTCTCGAAGTACACCAGTTACGTTCTCGGTTCTTGAGAACTAGCGTTCTCTAGAGGTGTTGCGTTCTCAGTTCTAGCGAACTTTGAAAACCTGTAATATAGTTGTACATAGTTAGTAGCTCTTAGTTACCCTTAGTAGTAGTTCTCAACTCTTCGTTAGTCCCAAACGGGACTCTGCTGGGGGACGGGGCATGCCCCAGGTTTTAAGCCCTGCAATCGCTGCAAATGGCCTATGCCAGTCAGTAATCCGCATACCAGCTGCCAAAGGCCTGGTCTACGCTGTGGGGGGGATCGATCTATGTTAAGCAACTTCAGCTACATGAATAACATAGCTGAAGTCGATGTACTTAGATCGACTTACCGTGGTGTCTTCACAGTGGTGAGTCAACTGCTGCCGCTCCATGCGCAGTGCTCCACGGGCCGGCACTGGTCCCCCTCCACGGCTCCGGTGAAGAAGCCGAAAAAGACTGAGGGTAAGATCTCCTACCTCCCGAAAGCGAAAGAAGAGGGCTGGGGGCAAGCCACAACGTGTGCCGGGCAGCTCCATACCCCCATTGGGAACTTGAGCCCCAGCTCAGGTCAAGCTGTGCAGCCCATTCCATGCTTCACCTGTAACCCCGGTTAGCGGTGCAGGCCCAGGCCAACTTCAGGTGCTGTCGATGCCTACAGCCCTTCAAGCGGCTTAGGAGATCCTGACCCTCCAATGGTACCCCAGTCTCAGGGAAAATCCGCGTTGGGACCTATACGTGTGACTCCACCTCAGCAGCACCATTCCCCATTGAGAAGGACGTCCTGCCATCGCTCACCTGCCTGAAGCCATCACACCTCAGGACTAGAGAGGCGGGCTCAGCTGAGCCCTCTTCAATCCCAGCACTGGGGACACCAATCAAGGGATGTCTTTGGCAGCCTTCCTGGCACGCATCCCTATCCAGAACATCTGTAGAGCCGCAAAGTGGTCCTCTGTCCACACGTTTACTGCTCATTATGCCATCACTCAGCAGGCCAGAGACGACGCTGGGTTCGGCAGAGCTGTGTTGCAATCTACACGTCCATGAACTCCAGCCCACCTCCAGGGGTACGGCTTTGGAGTCACACATAATGTGGAATGGACGTGAGCAAGCACTCGAAGAAGAAAAGACAGTTACCTTTTCCATAACTGGTGTTCTCCAAGAGGTGTTGCTCATGTCCATTCCACAGCCTGCCCTCCTTCCCCACTGTCGGCGTTTCCGGAAAGAAGGAACTGAGGGTGTGGGGAGCTGGCAGCGCGCCTTATACCACTCCAGAGGGCACCAGAGCCAGTCCCCTACAGATACTGTAGAGGGAAAAACTTACAGCACCAGTGCATGTGGCGAGCACACACACCTACATGGAATGGGCATGAGCAACTCCTCTCGAAGAACACCAGTTACAGAAAAGAGAACTCTCTTTTATCCTAGGTGAACATGTATAGCATACTGCATGTAAAACAAAATGCTAGTTAAATATTTGTTTTGCTACACACACACATGAACTATCTGTGTTTGGCTTCTAGATGAAACTGTAAAAGCAGCAGTTGACCTAGACAGACAACATGTCATCTGTATCCTGGACATCTGTCGTTTAGGTGAAGATAAAGTGGAAGTTTTTCTGAACAAAATTTATAAGATAATGGAGACTGATGTGGTGAACCTTGTGTAATTTAATAGCTTGTTTTATTGACGTTATCCATTAATTGTTGGAAGGGAGGGGAAAAAAACCTTTCGTAACTTACAGTACACCCTCTGCATATTGCCACTTTCTAGAGCGTATAGAGCCAGCATATCCAGTGTTATGAAGTGCTCTGATAGAGCAATTGTAATGGTAGTCCTTACAATTGACAAGGAAGGTTCATTACCTTTATATCTGAAGGCTTTGGAGCAGAGTATTATAAATATGGCTGAGTGCTAATTATTTTTATACCTCTATTGCTTTAGTGTAATGCATTGAGTGCTGCAGGCAGCTCCCAAGTGTCAGGTGTTTTGTACGTGTTCCATCATTAAGCAAAGAGACTGGATGGGGAATGGAATGTGCAGCCAGATTCTGTCCTCTGTCAGTGAGAGTTGCCTGCATATATGCATGGGAAGAATTTGGCTGTAAGTCACTTGTGTGACTGTCTCTCTAGCTGGTAGTAACCTAAAATCATTGCCATCTGACAGCTCGTCAGGAAGGTCATGTGAAATAAAATGGTGGTCTCAGTCCAGTTTCTAGAGAAAACATGGCTGCATCACAGAAACTTGCCACCTCACTTGTTCCCTTGTTTGTAGTTTCAGTAGAGCCAAAAGACTTAATTTCAATAGATTGAGAACTATCCTCTGCTTTATAGAAGAGTCCCTCTGAGCAGTTTGAGAGACGCATTGGCTGTTGGTGGGGAAAAGTTTGCCCAGCCAGTGGCATACTGTGAATGGAAGCCACAGAAGGTTCTGTGAACGGAAGCCTTCAGTTTTAAGTGCTTTCAGTTCTGCTCCATAACATTAAATTAGTTAAAAAACAAGGCACTTCTCTGCATTATTTGTGTTAGATTTTCTAGAAGCATTATTGGATACAGGGCCAAAGTTTGAGTGTTGTATGGTCACTTAGAATGTCATTCTATGCTTCTGCATAGATATCCAGTAAAGTTTTGGTGTGTCTCACAATTTTTAACAGTTTACTAATAGAAGAATATTAATGTAAATGTCCTGATAAGTGAAAGTTAATACCGTAAAACATTTGTCCTTTATATCTTTCTGTACTGTATTTTGTATTTAAATGTATGATATGGTATAGGCTCCAGGGTCTAATAAGAGAGTCTGGCACTCGTACTTGCTATTCCAAATTGAGCCATGCTGACTATGCCAGCAGATATTTTAAAGTAGATATACCTCAGGTAGAAGCTTAATTTTAAGGAAACCAGCATTTCAAGATTAAATGTGTAAGGTAATTATGTTTTTGTAATAGAAATGACAGACACTTGTACAGAGTTACCATATTTTATTATTTGTTCTAGTCACTCAGCCCTCTTCCTTTTGTTTTGTTTCTCAGTGCTCCCATTACATGTAGTAAAACCCAGCAATGGCTCTGCCTGCTTTATCTCACTGCATAGCAGTGTATACTTAACATTGTTGTTATCCCTTGATGCTTGCTGTCTTAAATCTTAACAGCAAATTCAGAATTATGTAGACTCTGGTCTTTATATCCCATTTTATTTTATATCTGTGCTATTTGAAATGTATCAAAAGACAACTTAAAAAAAGTATATAATATATATACTGGCAAAAATGAGTAAATTCCATTCTTTGCAAAGAATCCATTCATTCTTTTGTTTCATGAAGCATAGCTAACTGTAAGATTAAAAATGCTAAGAAACTAAGGTCCTGTTGATAAACATAACATTTTGTTATGTCTCTCATTCTCAAGAACAGGGCTTTGTAAAATCTTTTCATACTATAGGGATCACTCATCCACCACTGGAATACAGCCATTGCAGAGGTGGATTGTTACCAGAGCCTTGTGTATTCCCTAATCCTGGAATTCACACCCTGTCAAAGTATTGTACTCCAGAATCTTAGCTCTTATTTTCTTTTATAAATGTTTCTACCCATCGTAGTTTCAAAGAAAACCATAGAAAGGACAGTTGAGTGTAAACCAGCGCAGTGATGAATATACAGAGAGCCTGAAACAATAACTCTAACAGGTGTAAACTGCTCAGATTTATCTGTGTGTGGTTAACTCTGAAACTTAGACTACAGTCTGTGGGATATTGAAAATGAGGACAGCTTAAATAAAAGAAATAACAAATAATACAAAGGCTTCTGTTTTTATTTCATTTTTATGTATAATTGAATAAAACAATCTGTTTTTTAAATGTATCTGAAGCTGTTGCAGAACTTCAAGAATTTCCACCAGAGTGCGGCATAACCCAATGATCTTGCAGCAGAATTTTAAGTCTCGCTTGCCTCAGAATATGCAAGGCATCCTGTTGCAGCCATTCTGGGCCTGCAACACTAAACTTTTTTTTTTTGGCAATGAGTTCCAGTGGCTTCATCTGTTTTCCTCCGGTTTCATTGCCTTCATTTTCCAATAGACCACCCTTCGAAGAAAGCACTTTTAAAATCGTTTATACATGCATTTTCCCATAATGGAGGCAATCCCCATTGGAGAGCAGAGCGTGGGATATATACATAACTGCTTGTTGTAATTCATATGACTTGGGTGGGTGGGTGGCATTGATTCTGGCCCCCCTCCCCCCCCATTATACATGCAGTACTTCTCCATCCCCTATTGGCTTCAAAGGGAGTTACGTAGATTTATCTGAGGTCAGAATTGGCAGGTGAATACTCCCTGAGATTGGAACTGGAAAATGGGAACTTTGTCCCTAAGTACTATGGCTAGTCAAACCCTGGAGCACACCACATAGGAAAGTGGCGTCTGATATGATTAAAAAAAAAGCAAGACACACAAAAAATTATAAGGTATGACAAGGATGTGAGAGAGATTGTGGTTTAAAGGAGGAATAAGTGATTTTTAAAAATTGGTTCCAGTACATCTACATTAGTTGTCTGCACTGTTGCAACTAAATTGACCTTTTTTTCCCTTTTTTTTTTTAAATCAATCCAGTTTTACTAGTGTCAGCTTTTTAATATAGACAAGCCCTGTATCTTGGACAGGCTAAGGAGAAAGGGAGAAATGCAAGTCTAAGGCTGTGTCTACCCTTGCACTTTTGTCGGTATAACTTATGTCACTCAGGGTGTGCAAAAACCACCCCTCTTAGCGACATAAGTTTCACTGACAGAAGCACTGGTGTGGAAAGCACTACATTGGCGGGAGAGCTCTCTCCTGTCCTCATAGAACAGCTACATGAGCTCACTAGTGTAGATCTGGCCTTAGGTTAATCTTGGATTAATTCTATCTCACTTAATTCTTCCACTATATAAGATTAGAAAAATTATGCAGACCCTTTCTTTGTTAAATCTTATTTTTAATGAGAGTCTCAGATTGTTTTGAAACGAGGTCACTCTGTTATATCCTTGAAGGGAAGAAAATTTTCTGACCCCTGGCAAGAAGCATTTCAGACTAAATAGGAGCCTATCCTGGATGTGAATGTGGTCTGTATGAATTAAACTGTCCTCTGGCTACTGCTCAGGGGCTGATGCAGCCACCTACGAAGTGCCACCAAGATACAGATGGAAGCCTGTAGAGAAATGAAAAAAGCTGATGGACCATAAGGAGTGGCAGGAATATGGGGCCAAAGTTTACATTTCCAGGCACTCATAGTAACAGTAACCAGGTGTGGATTTTTTTCCCTGGATAAGCTAGTTGTAATAGAGCTGACTCACTGAGGACTTATATTTCTGTGGGTGCTATCAGTTACCTACTTTGACCTGAAATTTCAAATTCCTTAGGGAAGCAATGGACTAACAGTGGTCATTGTTAGTTGAAAATATCTATAGACCTCTTAAATTGTATGCTTCAATTAATAAGCAATGAAGGAGAAGAATAAATCCAGCTATTCCTGCCTCCTGGTGGTTGCTGTTTTATTCAGAGCTGCAGAGACTGTTCCAGCCTATGTGAATCTATTCTATTTCAACATTACTAGCAACAGCACTGTGACTGAGCAATGTGAATGTGGTGAGTTTGGAGTAAACTCTCCTCTGGGTACGGCTTCGGGGCTGGTGGGCATTCCTAAATCTGCTAACCTTCAAGCCTGTGATTCTCACACGGAGTTCACTGTCACGGAAGCACCCTGGATTGCACTGATTGAAAGAGGCAATTGCAGATTTTCAGAAAAGATTCACCTGGCGGCCAAAAAGGGTGCTGAAGCTGTTGTGATCTACAATGCCCCAGAGAGTGGCAGTTATCCCATCCGTATGGCACACTCTGGTGAGTGCTACAATAATCAACTCTGGGAGCCTGCTAATTTCTGTCCAGTTCAATATGCCATTTCCACTGAAGGCAACCTGACATGTTGAAAGTATTTCATGTGTTTATCTTCTGTTCTTCTGTTGGTTGGTTGCTATTTTTATGGAGAAGTTTTTGGGACCCAATCCCTGCAAGTCCTTACTTGCAAAACTTAGCCTTTCTTATTTACCAGACAAGTCCCATTAAGTAGTAAGGGTTTGTGGCACCAGGACTTTTGCATTTTCATAGATTTCACTCAATTTGTATGCTCTCTTCTGAGGACTAACAGTATGATCCAAAGCCACCCTACTCTTGAGGGAATTCTGCACCTCTGCACATGCACAGAATTTATGTCCCCTGCAATTTCTTTGCTTCCTGACAGAAAAATGACTTTCTGACAGGGAAGCAAAGGGAAGCCACAAGAACGGTCATGCAACCCTCCCCAGCAGTATGTTTTGGGTGCCCAGGGCAGCCGGCAGAGAAGTAAATCACTGTGGGGTAGGAGGCGGGACTGGGAAAGACCTGGCTGGTGGCTTCTACACTGCGCCAAGCTCAGCTGTTCGTCGGGGCTGGAGAGGACAGGGCTGCTTCTTCACCTGCATGGCATCTGGGGCCCGGTCAGACCCATCCCCCAAATTTCTCCTCTGGCTGCAGGAAGCTCTGCAAACATTCCCTCCCCCTTGCTTCCTGCACCCCATTGCTCCTCAGCTGCAGAGGGAGAGATCTCTGTATAGGGAGCTGCTCCCTCATCCACCCAACCCCCGTGCATCCTCTTCATACCCACACCCTTACACCGAGCCTCACTGCCCCTGCAATCAGAACCCCCACAATGAACCCCACTCCCCCTGCATCTGGACCACCCTTATGAGTCACTCCACCCAGATCCCCCATTGAGTCTCCTGCACCCAGATTACCCCACACAGAACCCTCTCAATCCACACCTGGATCCCCCACATTAAGCCTCTCCACATTTGGATCCTGCCTTGCTGAGCCTGCCTCCTCACACAGAGGGGCAGAGCCCTGGGGTATTTCTGGGGCAGGCCAGGTCCTTGTGCTGTGTCAGGGTTGGGTGCAGCCTCACCGCTGAGTCCATGTCCTCCGGGGGAGGGGGAGAGCTACACCGTGATCTCCCACCTCTGTGCAGGCAGTGGCCTGTGCTCCTAAATGCCGTGCTGGAGCCTCCACATTTATTTGGCAAATAAAATTTGCAGAATTCTAAAATTGTGTGCAGAATTTTTATTTTTGGGGCGCAGAATGCCCTCAGGAGTACCACCTGGATCAAATGGGAGCCTTTCCATTGATTTCAGAAAGATTTGCATCAGGTCCTGTTTGTGTCTAGATTTTGTTGTCAGACACTTTTATAGATGGCATGTTTTGATAATCTAATTAATGTGAATAATGTACTACTTCCGTTAAATTGTTTCCAAGGTGTCGCTTACACTACAAACTTATGTCAGTATTATTACGTCTCTCAGAGGTGTGGAAAATCCACACTCCTGAGCGACATAGTTATGCTGACCTAACCCCCAGGGTAGACATCACTATGTCAATGGGAGGGCTTCTTATAGCTACATAGCTAACACCTCTTGGGGAGGTGGAATACTTACACCTATGGGAGAAGTGCTCTCTTTGGCATAAGTATTGTATTGTCATACAATAGAAGATTAATTGTATATGATGTTGAAAGCAAATTACATAATATATATTTATAATACAGTATATAATTCCCTTACATGCTACTAATATTATGATAGTGTTTACAGTTGGAATTTAAAATATTTAACCTAACATGAAAATATGGCCAATTAATTGAAGATTTTCTTTTGTATTGTTACGGGAAAGTGATTTATCTAATCAATCTAGAAAAACTGGCTGGTACTGATATAAAGGATCTTGTATAGCTTTGTTTGTTAGTTTGGAGATATATTTTTCTTACAGATTGTTGACTTGTCTATTGTGTTTAGCTGTAGGTAATGTTTTCTGCTCAATTTCTAATGGAACAATAGAGACCCCAAGGGGCCACATGATCTAATTCATCTGAAGTGAAATCAAGAGCTAGATTTGCCAGCCAGAATCTCTGAAGCACTCTTTGGCCTGGTCTACACTAGGGTGGGGGGTGGCTAGCTAAACCGGTCTAAGTTACACAACTTCAGCTACGAAAATAGCGTAGCTGAAGTCTATGTACTTTGAGCTACTTACCACAGTGTCTTCACTGCGGTAGGTCAACTGCCAACGTTCCCCTGTCAACTCCGCGTACGCTACTCACGCCGGTGTACCGAAATC